CGAAGGTGGCGGGCACCACCTGCAAGCAGAGACCAATGGTCATGAGTGATCTCAACCTTCAATGTCACGTAACCTTCAATGGAAGCCAATAAGCATGAACCCAATGCCACGCAACCTTCAATGGAGGCCGTGAGAGGAAAGCTCAACATGAAGGCGTGCACCATGGCGCTGTCGAACATGTCTTAAATGCACCTTTTGTCAGCGCCGCATGCGAAAGCGCCATGCAGTCTTAAGGTCGCTGGCCACTCTTCGACCAGTCAAGCTACCAATTCATGAGGACGGCAAACAGCACTTGCAACACCAACGAAAAACAACATATATATTTACATGTATTTACACATATTTACACATATATATATATTTATTTATATCAAAATGATCATTGATTTATAGAAGAACAAGCATGCTCGTTTGCATCTTCAATGCGGTGGTCTGCAAGAGCCTGCAGATCAAATCACCAATTTGTGAAGTGGCCAATCATCATGCGCGCATGTCTAAACTTTTGCGAGGGAACAAAGTACCATTATACCTGGATGATATTGGCACTTCACACCGTGCAGCACGCACGCAGGTTCCGAGCAGATACGACCCTTAACTCAGGATGCCATGCGCTGTCAATATAGAGTCTTGGCCAGAACACACATGCCAAAAACAAAAACCTGATTGTGATTCACTACAAGCCAAAATTCCATCTGCCAGAACCAAACTCGCAAAACGAAAAAAAGCGGTGAAACATGATTTTAAGACGCGGCATGCCGAGGGTCTCACGTCCACGTGCGCGCAAAGCCTTCAGAGTCTTTGGGGTTGGTGGTTGATACCAGCGATTGGAGGTCACCTTGCTAGAAACCCTAGCCGCTATCACTCATGAGGCCACAAGCCTGCCAAGTGCGTCTGAAGCTCATCCTGGCCTCCCACATCTAAGTGGTAAGGTGTTTGACTGCTCAAAGAGCCCAGTGAAGAGATCCCGAGCATTTGCATGGTTCAGTGTTGAATATTCTAGAGTAGTTGGTGTTGAATAGACAGTTAAAGTGTTTCTCAGGTCATTTACCTCTTCTTCACTGTCTCTCTGAGGACTCCTGCCAATTCGTTGACTGATCTGATAACACCAATGCGTTCTTCACTCGTGAGGGCAGATGAGGCTTTGGCCTCAGCACACAACAGACCATTGTGTGTTAATGTGAACACTATTGTACGAACACTGAACACTGAAAGACTCCCACGTATGCGTTCACTGTCACTGTGATGATGCCAAGTAACATCCTGCTTGGTCTCCTTCAGCTGCGCAAATCCCTCCTTGGCTGGATCATGAAGTCGATGCGCTGCCCAGGAAAACGAAATCTTGAAACTTTGTTACATATATAGATGCATAACACGCGGAGTAATGCGACCAAAGACTCTTTTGCCCGGATCTGAGATCCTCCCCTCTTGCGGCCCCTGGTCCTCGTCGACATCCCCGAGCGATAGGCCTCCAGGTCTTGCAGCGCGATGGTCTTTCCGTCCACCATCACTCGTCCATCTGGAAGGTGTACTTCCTGAGGTCGGGCTGCAAATCATAAGACTGTTTGATATGCACATCCCTTTTCCCTTTGTATCTACACATATATATATATATGTATATTTCCATTCTTTGCAAGAAAGACTCCTTCTTGTTCCCATACCACAGGACCTGTGGGTCGCGGGGCATCCAGGATTGCATCCAGGATTGCATCCAGGGCTCCTTCATCAATCTTTCACAACTCTCAAACACATGTCATGGTGACAATCAAGCGTGAGAGAATGAGGAACTTGAACCGCAGTCTGCGTGGGTGGGGTGCGTCTCAGTCCTGCCATGTCTGCAGGGCTGCCGGACTTGGTGGAAACTCGGGTTCCGCCGGCCTCTGCCATGGTGCAACCATGCCTGATGATGAGGATGGTGCTGCTGGCGCCCATCCCGCTGGTTGTGGGGGCGGTGCCATGTCCGCCGGCCCATCCATCTGCTGCTGCTGGGCTGCTCCTGGCCGGGCTGCTGCTGGCCGGGCTGCTGCTGGCTGGGCTGGTGCTGGCTGTCTGGGCATGGCCTTGCACTTCACCTTCGCCTTCGCCTTCATCAGCCGAGGGTTTTGAGGGAACCACTCCTGCGTGCATCATGCCACACAACAAGCAACCCGGTGCAAAGGCATGATCACCAATCACACATAATAGCTGCATGATAGTCCCTTCCATGCGTTGCAAAAGAGACACCAACACAAGGTCCTCCCCGCTGTCACTGTCGACCTCCGCATCCTCCGTCGTCTGCTCTTCCTCTTCCCCCTCCGGCGCAGTGAGATCCTGGGCGGCTTGAAAACCATGGATGTGTTCCATAGATGATGCACGCACAAGCGCAACTGTCAATGTTCCCACCCTCATGACCATTCTATATCCTATATATTGCTGTCAGAGCGCAACTGCATCAGGCTGCGCCTGATCAGGCGCAGCTGGCAGCCACTCACCCCATCGTTCCTCTTCATCATGCGTCTGCATCATCTCGCCATCCGGGCCGTAGACGCGAACCATCGTAATGCACTGTGGGTTCACTACAATGTTCACTGTATGTAAGTGACAGGTATGTCGAGAAGTGGGGTTGTGTGTGTGTGAGTGAAGTGCGACTGCGTGTGAGTGTGTGTGTGTGTTGTGGTGGAATGGCCACGTGCGGCAATAGTGTGTCCAGGGATCTTGGAAACACAACAGGAAATACGCAACCTAAAGGGGTATGCTGTATGCCTTGCAAATGAACATGCCTTGCAAATAGATATGGAATTGCCAACGTAATCATGCCGCTTGAAGCCATCCGTCTGCAATGGGTGCACCGGAATTGATCAAACACTCATCTTGACCTGAAACTCATCATGACCTTCTGCCAAATTCGAGTATCTCGCCTTGGCGTCGGTTGCGGTTGAAGGTGTTTGGCCTTGAAACGCAGCGCTGAGTCAACATGGCTTCGCAAGTTTAACTGTGTACCCAAATGTGGAAGCACAAAAGTTAGAACTTTGCAAAGTCAAACCCTGTGAGTGAAAAAATGAAATTATAGGTTATCAACAAAAGGAGTGTGGAATCACAAAGATCTGGTATGCAAATCTTGTGGATCCAATAGACAACGCCAGGTAGCAAATGGGGGAAACGCTGTCCGTTTCTTTCCATTGATTGTGTGAGACACGTTTAGCAAAACAGAGTAATGTTTTTTGATTTGCTCAACCTCCTGAAGTCCAATAGAATGTCAATGGAACTTTCTGTACTTAGGCCGCGTGACAGACACACCACAACTGTGATAACTGCAAGACTCATCCCGGCTCCACACGCATTCCAAAGGGTGGTTAGGGTATAGGGCGACAACGGTGGTTCAGATGGACAGTAGTGACTGGTGTCCCTCACTCTTTGTAGCCATCCCCAACGTTCCGCATATCTCTCGTTCAAGTGCAGTGGTCTGGAAGTACAAGCGCATGTGTCACAGAGACTGAGTTTCGAATTGACTTGCCACTGTCACGTGATCATTAGTTCAGCGACACCCAAATGAAGGTGTTGAGAAAATGCGTTTGCAAGCTGAGTTCAAATCCGTCGCGCGGCAACGTGGCAGAGCAACCTGAAAAGTGAAAATGCCTTCGGAAGTTGTGAGCAATCACACAAACAAGCTCCAATCTGACAGCCGTGACAGAAGGCCTCGCAACAGAATGCTACATTATTGAAGCTGACGTCAACAAGGTGGAATTGCACTGGGCAAGACCCAGTACCGTATAGACGGTTGCATGGCAGCGCTTTACGTTGACCTGGTAGACTGACTGCCATCATACGCGAGCGCTGGCCCAGCGTATTATTTCGCTCAGCACCATCTCAGAATGGTCGCAGTTCTCATGTCCTCCAACTCAAGTCCTGAAGCTCTCAAGTCCTGGTCTCTCATCTCCGGCTGTGGCGCTGGAAGGTGTAAGGACACCTGAGGATTGGGAAAAAGTTGACATCTATCAAATTGACACTTTGTGAATCACAAAAAAAACATTAACTTTTTGTGGGTTCACAAAAAGTCAATATAGAATTTTGTGGGATCACATGTATTCCAAGTATCTAAACTCAAAAAGTTGTGGAATCACAAAACTTTGAGTTGACATTTTGTGCACCCACAAAAACTGTAATGAAAAAATTGTGAAATCACAAAACCACTATAGATTGCCAACGGACACACCACCCAAAAAGTTAGTATACAGGGGGAAACGCTGCCCATTTTTTCCCATACATTTTGATAGATTTACTGATATTTTTGGTGTTTTCTAGTTCTCAAGGCAAGCACGAATCTCTTAAAAGGACAGTCTGCAGCTATAGTTTTCTTGTTTTTTGTGAACCGCAAACTACTTCGGTTTGACTTGAAAGTATGTTATGTGTTTGACCAGACTGACACAACTCATGCTTTTGAGGCTCCAGACCACCGCTGAGCAATCTCGTATCCTGAGGAAAACTGCTTGCTTCACAAGGCACGCTTGACACAGAAATGTTAGGGCAATTTACTCAAGCCAAACAAATATCGTTTGAACACATGTGTTGATACTTTGGTTACCCTTGGTTGCAGTATAGAAGAATGACTGGCACTGGTTCCCCCGCAAACTAGCGGCAACTGTCGTGCGCGGACGCTTGCCGATCTGGCATTGTTTCAAAAACACGTCGAAACACCTGGCCGTTCAAGTTGAACTAATATAGACGTTTCTGTTCTATTGTCCAAAAGGCTTGAAGCAATACCTCGCCTGAACAGAGAGCTTCGTCACCATGCTGGGCCTGGACTGGTGGTTCGTTGACAAACCTATGCGCGCGAGCTGATGTAGCCCAGCGTGCGCGTAGATGTTCGCGTCCTCAATGGCGCCAATTCTGTATATAGACAGCGTGCAAGCACTTCAGGTTAGCAACCGCAAAATCATGTTCCATGCGCAAAAATAATGTCGAAATGCAAAGGTCCAGGAAAGCGCAATGCGATATTTTGATACATGTCAATCGTACTATTGTTTTCAACCTGCAGCCTCTGGCTCATCGTTACCGCTAGCTTCAGCTACAGGCATCTCTTCGGACACCCGGCGCTTCACGCGTCTTCTCCGCTTTGGAGAGGCCTTAATAGGTTTCTCCTTCCTCTTCTTCTCGGCCGGCGGCGAACACGCCAAAGAAGCCAGCACATGCGCCACGTTCTCATTGGTGAGCTCGATGTGAATGTCTTTCGATTTCACTTTCCAAAGGCAGCGACACGCGTGCCCCTCACCCTCACCATCTACAATTGGCGGAAGCTCAATCGCCACACTCTTGGCAACCAAAAAGCGGTCTTCATCACGCGCTGGGCGGAGTCGTGGAGGTTTCTCTCCTGCTTCCACCGACTTCATGAGATTCTCATGCAAAGCGCGGTTGCGTGCGTCAGTGCCTCAATAGCTGTCAGAGTCGCAATGCACAATCTTGTGGCAAACTGGAGGAGGTGCAAGTGGTTAAACATGGTAATCATTGCAAGTTGCATGTGGCATGAGTGCACATGTGAGGTATCAATAGCTTGCTATCGTGTAACTTGTGTGCAGCATTGATGTACAACGCTGATAACACCTATTTGCTGTCACAATGCCAAGCTACGAAGCTCAGAAACACAATCCCACCATTCGCACGAAAGGCTCATGGTAGATTTCGCTTTATGGCGGTTCAGGGCTTTTCGATGAACCAATTTGCACAAAGCGGAGTCCCACTTGCTGAAGGTAGCGAAGGTGACCCCATCAACTACCTGAGTTTCAGGAAACCAGGTGCGTCGATTCAAACGCACGCAAAACACAGTAGTGACTGCCACCTGCTTGAAGTCTGGCGGGCCATCCTCCTCCTGCTCAGTCACCTCTGGTTCGGAGTCCATTGCAACTGTGCGATTATACGCCCTTGAGGCTACAGCAAAACAAACGTGAAGTGGCTACCACTTAAGCCTCACTGGCAGTCTTATGACACATCCGGCTTGATATAGGACAAAACTATATTCATATCACGCATTAAAATACGAGCTGTCCACTGCGTTCTGTCCATGGCGTTTGCGAGAAGTGACACCCAGCAAACAGAATGAAACCACGACACCTTGCCAAAACAACTTTCACGTTTGCAGCGCCCTTTTCACTGATGCTGGGGCCTTCAATGCAAGCCAACTGATCAAATGCAGCTGCCACGTTGCCTACAAAAAACCTTCGAGCTGACCTGCGCAGTCGGCTCCTTGAAAAATAGCGGTTCAAGAATCCTCTAAGATTAAGATTCCTACTTGCGCGTTTTCTTTTTGGGCGCTGCATCGATCGGCTCGACCTCGACAGCCTTCTTCTTCTTCTTGTCCGCCAACATGTAGAGCTCTTCGTCGGCCTCAAGTTTGTCCACGTTCCGGACAACCGGAAGTGTGATTGGTTTGTCCAGGGACAGTTTGGTCTTTTTCATGACGTCGATGGGCGGATGCACCTGCATCAGGCGGTCGCAAGTTGGAATCAATGACTAGCAAGGGGAAACGTATTGTCAAACTCTACAACACAATAGTAAAGGTGTTCGCTCAATAGTACCCAGATGTAAATGGCATCGTTGCCATACAGAGAGTATAATGCCTTGACATGGCGACCCCTGCGCACCTCCATGTTCACATTCTCTTCTTCTTCCGTGGTCGGAATCATCCACATGGGATTGCAGAAGCTGCCCAGCTTTGTGTGTGGCACGATGCACACCTCGTATGGACCGTACACACCAATGGTGATACCACTGGCCTTGTCGGGTTCCACCACCAAGATCTTTCCAGTCGCACATGGAAACTGAAGCTTTTTGGTGGCCAACTCTTGGAGACGGTCAATGCCTTGGGGTCCTTCCACAGCTGCACAGTCTCGTACCCTTTCAGGTCCTTGGCCTGCTGGTACATAGCCTGCGCAACATTGGCTTTCAGCACCGTGATCCCAAACTCGGCCGAGACCATGGGAGCATCAGAAACCCATGCCACCTGTGTCTGTTCCTTCGGCTCCACATACTTTTTCCATTTGTTTTGAAGCAAGGACTGAGTCTTCACTTTCACCTGCCCACCTTCAGGTTCACTTCGAAGCAGCAAAGTCACTTCGTTGTCCTTCACCTCTTTGATCTCTCCAATGACTTCGTTGTTTTGAATCACCACGCCAATCTGATAGCCCATCGCCGCCAAGACGGCCTTCTCGTTCTTCAGCGCGCCATGCTGATCGTACTCGCGGTGCATGAGCATCTGTTCCCGTGGCTTTGGGCTGGGTTTGGTTTTGTCACTGGCTCCGTCTACCCACGCCGAAGGGGCGCACAAGACCTTCCCAACCTCCTTGCCGAACTCCTCGAGCCCATCCAAGGCTGCGTCCTCCATCTTGGGAAATTTCCTGTTCTTCTTATCCAGCGCCACTGCGCAAATCATGCACTCGAGCCGCCCAAGCGCTCTCACCTTCTCGGCCTCCTTGTCAACAACGTCAAGTACCACGGACTTCCACTGGTTCACGATTTTCTTGCCCTTTTCTGCCATCTTCAACGTCTCCTTGTTTGTCAAGGCCTTCTTCGCCTTTGTGCACCATGACAACTGTTTCTTGCGCAATAGTGTCTTATATATTGAGGGGACCTGCATATCATATAAGAAGCGAGCATGTCTAAAAATACCCAACTTCATTGGCCAACAAATCAAGGTACAAGCAACTTACGTTAAACCATTGGGGACAGAGCTGCAGGACATGTTCCCAAGTCACATCGGTCGCTGACAAAGCCCGGTCAGAGCAGTACCCATACTTGATCAAGGCATGACGCCACCAGAGCTGTGGTCCACTCTTGACATCCTGGCTCAGCTGCGCCCAGCACTCCGGCCCCAAGTCCCGGGATGAGCGCCCGTTGGCTCTCACAAAGCTCTCAGTGTGGCCCATCACTTCACCACCGCTGAATTTCATGGCAAAGGTGAAAATATTAGGCGCTGATTCCTTGCACCGTGGACGGCTCCTCAGGACCTCCTCCTGGATCTCTTGCCAGCATGGCTGTTTGCCATGTAGCCTGTCGAACCTGCTGACAGCGGCCAATATCTTCTTGATGAGTTGGACCTCATCCTCTCCTTTGGCCACCTGTTGCGTGGCGTTTTGCGCTGCGCAGATCATGTCAATCAATGCTGGCAGCTCTTGCGCCACAGTCCTCTTGATGATTTGCCATGTACTGCCCTGTGTGATTGCACGCGACCATGCCGACCCGATCGCACTCATCGTGAGGCGCCCTGCCCCATCTGTCAGAGACTGGTCGTCGTGAAGTGCCCCGTGCAAGCAAGCCCTTGCAGCCATGTTTGCGTGGCTGCCCGAGATCGTCGCGTACCGCAAAGGCCCCATGGTTGCAGGGGCCAAGCGACCCTTCGACTCTAAGTAGAGTCGTTCGTTGAATCGCCTGCAGGGTGTCTAATTTGTCTTACACACATAAACCCATAAGATTGGGACAGCCCAACTTCTGCTTGCGACACACAATCTACTACCATGCCTGCACTCCTCAGAATCAGCTGATGCGTCAAGTTCTACTGCGATGCGCTGGCCGACACCGGCTTCTGCAATGTATCCCATTTTCGCGATGCTGGTGATGAGTTCTGACATGTGAGAAAGGTCTATTCCCACACCGTGTCGATTGGACTGGTGAACAGCAAGATGGTCGCACGTCACGTTCATGCTGTACATCAAGGCCTCGGATTGCAGGAATTGAAGCGCCTCCTGCGAAGCAAGCATGATGCCCTCCTTGCCCGCTTTATCCAAACAGCTTTGTAGGAAGTTTTTCTGGCGCGTGTCCATGACGGATCACTCAGCTATCGGTTCAACGGTTGCGTATGTGCTTTGTATCCCTTGAGTGACAAGCTATATGCGCATACGTACTACCGTGGGACGTACTGCAAATCAGCAAACCAATCATGGATAGAATCCACCAACTCAAAATGATGCGATGCACGGTGACCGCTGCATGCGCGCGAGCACCTGCCCAGCACGCGTCCGGGACCCATGCCTGCGGCACAGCAGTGGCTCCTGCAACAACGCTGCTGGTTGGGGAGTAAGGTGTCACAGGTAACAAAAGGGGGTTGGTGAAACAGGAATGGTACACCAGCATGTTGGGCAAAGGCTCGTTTGCATCCAACGCGTGGCTTTTACCCAAGACCCATTGCCTGATTGTTTGTTTAGGCACAGTGCTCTCCAATGACATGTGGTGCTCATGTCATGTTTTGCTCTGCATGGACTCTGCATGCGCTTGATTCTGTACTGCATGGGCAAGATTCTAGAACACCAGAGTCCGCACATGGAGGAATGGCACGGATCAAGAAATACAAACAAACCCACCACGTCGGAAATATCAACGTATTGTTTCAAGGTATCTGGATTTTCTTTCTGGTCCAGCCTGCGTGAAAGTGAATGTGCACAACTGCGCAGTTCAAAAGCGCCTGCGTGACACAATGGACAGCAACCGCATGGATAAACCACGCCGAAAACGCTTTCATATAATGCAGTCTACAATCAATGCGTTCGGATCGGTCTACAAGTTTAAAACCCTCCCATGCTGAAGTTCAATCAATCTTGAACAAACCAGATCGCGAAGCCGTGAGAGCACGAATATATGGCTTGGAGCGCAGTGGGTCCTCTCACATTTCCTTTTTCAAAAAAGCCAGCGCTGGATGCGAGCCTTGCCCCAGCATCCTCATGAGCGATCAACGACTATATACCAAAGTATCTGGGATGTCCTCTTCCTCATTTGCGTCTGCTTGACTCCGGGCCCTTTTTCGGCCTCGAGCACTTGCCACATAGCCAGCGCTAGCTTGAACAGGAAGAGCTATGGCACGGAGAGGCCCTGCTTGCGCAACAGGCGAGGTACGCAGAAGCTCCAGCAACTCTTCGATTGCACGGACCTGCTGTTGGAGGTTGGTCAAAGTAGCTCGAACCTCTTGCACATGAGCCATGTACTCGATCAAGATGTTTCGGACCAGCTCAGCTTCTACGGTCACTGCGGATGGCTCCGGATCTGCAGTCTCATCTGGCTGGGACGACATCTGCGCGCACGCCTCGCTCTCACTTACTTCAACAACTTGATAGAAAATGTTCCCTGCGTCATTCCACAGGTATAAGCTTCGCGTGATTCTCCAAAATCTCATACATGTTCCTCAACCTGAAGGTATAAAAGATATACGCCTTTTCTCCGAACTCATGTACACGTCTCAAACTCAAGATATGAAGTATACACGAGGCATCATGCACGGTGACCAAAGGAAAGCAGGTTGGGCAATGGCTCGCTTGCAATGTCAAACGGACGCTTGGGGTCAAGGACATGAGAAATGAGAGCTTCAAAAAAACCATTCGGGCACAACACAAGTGTAATCTATAAATGGCGCGCCACACCAATGTCACCAAACTCGTTTAAAGGTCTGACTCTCTTCAACAGTGGCCCCATGCAATGACTCGATAAGCGCCATCTCATGAATCTGGGGACCCATGCTGAATCAACAGGCTCAGCTTTCGGCTCTCTCAAACGACGCCACTTCTGGAAGATAAAAGCCTGCGACCCAATACGCAGCGCTCTTGCAAATGTATTCTATATAGATATACCTACGCCGTTACATCATATATATATATATATACAGGTATGTTTCAGCATCTCTCTGGATGTGAAGGCGCACTTTTCCATTCATGCGGGACAAAGGGTGAAGCGGTGTCTCACTGCATGGTGCACTACATCTGCCTCGTACAACACCCATCCACTGACGTCTGCCGTGGGCGCTCGAGCGTTCTTTGGCCACCAACCCTTGTCCTTCATGGAGTCGATCCAAAACCTCAACCGGATCTAAACACAAAACTATACTGTATATTCATGAACCCTTCTGTTGGAGAAGACATG